TATCTTGCCCTTGTCAATTTCTAATCCAGTCCTGGCTCAATAAAGTAAAGGTAAAGATTCCCCTCACACATATGTGCTAGTCATTCCTGACTCTAGGGGTGCAGTACTCATCTCCGTTTCAAAGCCAAAGAGCCAGCACTGTCCGAAGATGTCTCTGTGGTCATGTGGCTGGCATGATTCAATGCCAAAGGCGCAATGAAAAGCTGTCACCTTCCCACCAAAGATGGTTCCTATTTTCCTACTTGCATTTTTACATGCTTTCGAACTGCTAGGTTGGCAGAAGCTGGGACAAAAAAATGGGAGCTCACTCCATTACGCAGTGCTAGGGATTTGAACTACTAAACTGATTCTTATCAACAAGCTCAGCATCTAATGATCTCAGTAGATCATTTGCCTGTCTTCCAGCCCTCACTGTTCACTTCTCCAGCTAAGTCACTAAATCCTTGGCGGCTGCTATGAAATGGCAGATCACTATGTGAAAAATTCCTCCTTATCTATGAAGTTGAACAATGTGTGTGGGGGAATCAGCTGTGCCGTGCGATTGAGATGAGCTAAATAATAATTACAGTTAAATGAAAATAGATATATAATAATGCCTTAGTTAATATTGGTTTTATTGGTTAATTTTATTAACCAATAATGTTGGTTGACTGTGGAGGAGATGTACCAAAACTTATCTGTAATTGATTGATATATTTTTTACAGATGTAAAGAAAGATGTGTACCTGTTTTAAACTAAAATTAAAAAACATTTATTTAAAAAAAAAAAAAGGTCGCAGAAGGGGACCCTGGGACACTGCGACCGTCATAAATATGAGTCTGTTGCCAACAGATGCTACAAGGGTCATAAGTGTGAGAAACGCTCATGTGGCTTTTCAGTGCTATTTGAACGGTCACTAAATGAACTGTCGTAAGTTGAGGACCATCTATATTATGCATTCCAGAAGCTGATTTGGCCTCCCCATTCATTCTCAATCCACTTTTCCGCTTTGAGTGTTGGGGCCTCCCTTGAGCTGGCTCGGGGGGAGGGGCCTCCTTGGGGAGGAGGGGGGAATAGGGCTGACCCAGCCTCCCCTCCCCAGCCGTACCTTCTTGCCCTTCTTGGTGGGGGCCACGTTGATCTTTGCCCGCTCCTGGAAGGTCTGGCGCAGCACCTGCCGGACCAGGGGCTCCCGGGCGATCTGCAGGGCCACCATGTAGCAGGCCCCTTCCAGCACGGCCTCGGGGGTGGGGAACTGGCTGCAAACATTAGGGGCAAAGGGGGAGGGGAGGTGAGTACGTGCCACAGGACCCTCCGGGGTAAAACCCCTTCCTCATTTTTATTTACACTCTATTTTTCTTCTGCTCCCAGGACCACCGGAAAGAGCTTCACAGCCGCAGGAAAAATGAGAGAGATAGGGAACTGTTAGCCCGAAGGGTTGCGGGTCCAGTGTTCCTGTTTAAAAAAGGCTGCAAATTGAATTGGATCCCTGTTTCTTAATCCTGACAACTTTAAGGGTGGACTTCAATACCCAGAATTTGCTGGCTGGGGGATTCTGGGAGGGGAGGGCCACACATCTTAAAGCATCCCGGCTAGGGGATTCTGGGTATTAAAGTGCACCCATCTTAAAGCAGGGGAATTTAGGAGTGGAAGGCCACCCCCTCTTAAAGCACAGCTGGCTGGGGAATATTGGGAATTAAAGTTCACCAATCTTAAAAAGCGGGGGAATTCTGGGAGTTGAAGTCCACATATCTTAAAGTTGGCGGCAATTGAGGAAACAGAATTTGATAAAGGCAAAAACCAAATTCAGAAGGACCTTTAGGTGGTTGTGTAGACTGGGGGGAAAAGGGGGCACACGTGATTGGGTTTTGCTTTCAGACAGGGGATCCAGCCCCAGATGCAAAGGCCACCTGATCCACCTGTACCGAGCTAAAGCCCTCAACACGGGTCTGATGCCCTCACCTCCGCGGGGCCAAGGTTCAAACCCAAGGCATCCGAAACAACTCTAGAACTCCCTAAAAACTCCCTAAACGCAGTGAAGAAATGCTGCCTTGGTGGGAGGGAAGAAGATTTTCAGATTGCCCAAGGGAGACCAAAGGGAGCCCCCGTGCCCCCTGCCCCACACCCCTTGGGAGGAGGACCCCCCTCACCTGCACACATAATCTTTCGCCAGCTCCAAGGGTTCTGCGGGAAACTGTTCGGTCTCGTGGCGCTGGTAGCTGTCCCGGAGATTCTCTCCAAACTGCTCGGGGGTCAACCCAAACTTCTTGGCCAGGCCATCTGCAGAAGAGACCCACCCGGTGTCACGGCTAAGCGTGTTTCATACATAAAGGCAGGATCCAATCTGGGTCGGTCACCGGGACCGGAGGTTCTGTCTCCCGACCTTCGGTCTCGTGCTGGAGCCCAACCTCATGGAAGTTCTAGCTGTTCCGTGTGTGGTATTTGTATGGTGCCTGTTGTAAGCGGCTTTTGAGATATTGATTGGATATGTAATCTACTGGATCCCCTCTTGACTATGTAGGACAGACGGGGAGGAAGCTAACTACCAGACGGCAAGAACACAAACGAACAGTCAGATGATGAGACCCCCAACTCATTGGTAGCCTCACACTGCAATGAACAAGGACACACGTTCAATTTTGCATCTAACTAAGATTGTTGGATGAGCAGGACCAAAAACAGCCAGGGAAGTGGCTGAAGCCTGGGAAATGGGCCGCTCGTCAGTTAACAGGAGTGCTGATTTACCACCAGCCTATCAAGTACTTAGAAGGCGAGGGCTGAGCAGCATAAACAAATGATAGCTAATGAGTTAAAAGTCAACCGTCAACGCACCCCAATCAACAACTAAAAAGCCACTTACAACAGGCATTATAAATATCACGCCCAGAGCAGCACACACTGTGCCAGAGAGAAGCTCCCTGAGGATGGGCTCCAGCACGAGTCCGAAAGCTCGGAAGACAAAACCTCTGGTCCCGGTGACCGACCCAGATTGGACCCTCGGGATAGTGCAACCATCGTAAGTACAAATCAGTTGCCAAGTGTTTGAATGGAGGTGCTGCAACGGTTTTAAGTGTAAAAAAGTCCTTTTTTCCCCATGTCACTTTGAATGTTCACTAAACAGTTATAAGTTGAGGACTATCTATGCTAACCTCCCCTGACCCCAAGGTGAAATGCCTGGCAACTCCACCTACTTTTGCTCATTTAATGACCCCATAATCTCTTGTCGGGTGGAGTCTGGGCAACTGACTGGAGCTGAGTGTTTACTGGCCCGATGCCCTTCCTGTTGCCAATGCGGAGTTTTGTTCAGCAGATACATTCTCATTGTGCCCCGAGAAAGAAAAATCTCACTCTACCTAGGATCGAACTCACAGCCTCCAGATTGGGAGACGAGAGCTCCACCTCTAGGCCACGGCACCACTCCACCTACTTCCAATCTCATCCCATAATTCCTTGAAGGGCTCCTGGGGTTGTGGGTGGGAGGGGGGGGCGGTGCACGGGAGCCCCAAAGGTCCGCTTACCTAGACCTGCCGTTTGGCAGATGGTGTACATGTCCCGGCGGGAGGCCTGCTTGAGCTCAGGCCCCTTCTGCTCTTCGTCCTCTCCGTCCTCTCTCTCGCCTAGAAAGAGAACCGGACGGTCACATTCCAACCAGGAAATGCCGAGAACCCAAGGAGCCCTTCAGACATGGAATAAATCAGCACTCTATGGTAACAATGGGGATGGAAAGGGAGCAGGAAAGGGACAGAGTGGCCCCCAACCTTTTGGGCACCAGGGAATGGCTCCGTGGAGAGAGTTTTTTCCACGGACTGAAAGGGAGGTGGTTTTGGGTGCTGCCTGCATCCCGCAGGTGGGGGCTTCACTTGTTTGTGTGGACCGGTTTCTGGCATGCAACAGTCCGGTGCCGGTCCGCAGACCGGGGGGGGGGGGGGGGGNAAAGTTAACAACCGGTTCTCCTGAATAGGTGCGAACTGGCTGAATCCCACCACTTTCCTAATAGCATTCTTTCCAGTATAAATAACTGTGACTGCAAATTTTATGACATGACTGAGTTGATATTTTTGCTGTTTCTTAAAAATGTAAGATTACAATTCAGAACTGGAAACCAAGATCTAGAAAAATTGATCCACACTATGATAGCATTTAACATTCTAAGTCAGGTCCAAAAGAGTGTGCTTCTTAGAGATAAAAAAGCTGTTATACTACTAATTTACTTTTTACCTAGCTACTCTGACATTCACCATAGAAAAATAATGTCTACATTATTGTTTGTATGGGGACATCACTAAAGAATATTCAGGAGCTACAGTTGGGAGGGTGATTGTAACATTTTGCCCTGCTTCATCTTCAAATTATGTAACTTGCACCTAAAATTTATATTGCTAAAACAGGTATTTATTTTATTGGAGCATTCTGAAAGAAAATTGCAATCATGAGTAACCCAATGATTTTTCTTTTATTTTACATTCAAATTGAAAATAGAAGCAATGTCCAATAGGATATTTTTCTTATTTATTGAGCAGTATGCAATAAGTTGTTTGACTTATTTGATACAATAAGGACATCCTCCCTAGGACAATGTTATTATCTAACACTGATAGCCAAGAAAAAAAAATGGAAAAAAATCTGCCCTGAGAGAAAATACTTTTTTGAACATTACAGTTCAAAATCTAATTGAATTTGGAAATTATAACTGATCCAATAATATAACAGTGTAATTTAAAATTTGGATAGTCTTGGTACATTAAAAACTGTTCTGGTTTCAGTTAATTTCAACCTTACATGTTCAGACACATATTTAGATTTGTCTCAGTTTATTTTATCAAATAACATTTAATAACATAAGTTGATTATGGTACCAAGGTAATGCTGCATCAGAATATTTCGATACTATTTGGTACTGCAGTACCAAGACTGCTAAAATAACTTTAAAAATGTAATTCAGATTTACATTGCTTCTAGAGATTAATAGATTACTTTATATCTTTAGATGTATATGAAAAGTTAAAAATGTGTTGTATCCTGAAGTCCATAATTTTGGAAGATTACTTCCATTTCAGTTAATAACTGGATGCTTATTCCATTTTGATAATCAAAGAGTTAGTATCACTATGATGTCTTGATGATGTCTACTACAGTTCCATTTGTTTCATATTTCAAAATATCAGGAAAAAATGCCATCAGGGTTTGTTTGTTTTTGCCCCAAAATGACCAAATCTAAAAGATAGCTGGGTTCTTTAAATTTGATTAGTAATTTAATGTTACTTAAGATGTCCACTAGAAACAAATGACTCATTTTTCATACATATCCAAATCAGACTAAAAACATGAGCCATAGATAAAGTTAAATAGATTTCAGAATTATAATCCAATTGTTCTGCTTTAAATTTTCCACTTTTAGAATAGCTAGTAATAGTGATACTCTGCAATGTGATGGCACTTATTTTATAATTCTTTGAGTGATACAAAAGGAAAGTGAGCAGAACAGAAAAGGCTGGTAAAATGTATATGAAGACATTTATCATTTGTTTATGTGCTTAATGTACCAAAACATCATTTTTAATATCCCATTAACAGTTTTTTTTGTAAAGTTATAATTTAATATCTTTTNTGGCAGATCACTATGTGAAAAATTCCTCCTTATCCATGACTAAGTCATGGAGAAGTCAGCTGGTCTGGCTTTGTAGAGTTGAGATCAGGGTGGGCTCAAAGGGGAAGTTCCTCTCCCAGAGATGTGGTCTCTTACTTACCATGGTTGACAACGGTGGTGGGTTGCTGCCAGTTTAACAACCAGTTCGGTGAGTGCACACTTCGCTGAAAATGGAGCATTTAGAAGCTCAGCTGCTTACCTTCCAAGTCAGCAACAGTAAGTTGAACAATGTGTGTGGGGGAATCAGCTGTGCCGTGCGATTGAGATGAGCTAGAAAGCAGGAAATAAAGGACAGGATAGGGCAGGTGTGAGTGGCCGGGGCCAGCTGATGGTTGGAGCTACCGATTTGCCCCAACTGGTCCAAACCGGCTGAATACCACCTCTAGTTGGCACCAGCCACCACACCAGGGCAAAGGAAAAGAGATGCATTTAGCCATTTGGGAGACAGTGACGGCTTTCAGGATCACAGATAATTGGATGTGAGAGCTTTGGACAGAAGTGTCTCTTCTCCTCAACAGGCATTGTTAATTTCAACTGTTTTGAGCAATTTTGATACAATTTCCAGCCTGCTATAAAAAGGTTGTTGCGATGGCTTGGTTGCAGTTACAGAAGAAATTGGAGGTAACAAACAACTGTGGGAGGGTTAGTATCTTTTGCATGGGATTTGTGGGAAGCGTTTTGATGTCCCTATAACCCATAGATATTTTGTCACCTGTATACAGGTAGTTCTCAACCTACTTCATTTAGTTACCATTCAACATTACAACGGCACTTATGGGCGTTTTTCACAGCTATGACCTTGGAATTACGCGATCTAAATTCAGATGCTTGGCAACTGGTTCATATTTATGACCGTTGCTGTGTCCCAAGATCCCCTTTTGAGACCTTCTGACCACCCACGTCAACGGGGAAGCCAGATTTAACAACCAGGTTACTGGCTTATCATCTGCGGTGATTCATTTAACAACCGAGGCAAGAAAGGTCGTAAAACGGGGCAAAAAGTCACATAACAAATTTCTGGCTTAACAACAAAAATATTGGGTTTAATTGTGATCGTAAGTCGAGGACCATCTGTAGTGTGATTTTGCACTTCTCTAAACTAGGTCAGTTTAGGGAATTATAAGCTCCCTTTGGATATTTATGATGCAGATGNAAGTGGTCCTTAGACCTTACATCCAATGGTGCCTCTCCTGCTGGCCCTGACACAGCCTCCAGCACAGTTGTATCAGTTGCCACAGCAGACTCCTCTAAGTCCACAGCCTCCAACCCAAGCACTGTACCTTCAGCCATGGTGAGAGCTCTGACAAACTGTCAGGTTCCAAAGGGTTAATGAAAACAGCCAAACACAGAAACGGTTTGAAAATGCAGATTATCTTTCCTACACACAAACTGACCAACAAAGCACTAAGGCAATGAATAAATTGTCAGAGTTGCCACCCGTTGCTCCCCACCACCTTTTATAGTTACTTGGTAATTAGGATAAACTGCACCCTGTGCATGCGCACACCCATCACCTCGTGACCCAAAGTGAAAACCACCCAGCAATTAATCATGGATTGTTCATAGTCAGTTATCAAGAGCTTTGTAGATATCTCAGCTGGACTGCTTGTGTAGGAGGGAACTTTACATCTGGTAAGCACGAGGCCTGGCAGCTGGCCAAGTTTTCTCCCATGAATGGCAGCTCCGGGCCTCTGGGCTGGCCGGAGCTGACATGGCGTTGAAGTCTCCTAGAAGACAAAGGTTGTTGCACTCCATATCACATATAATATTGTGTAGTTTTTTATAAAATTGTTCTTTTCCACTATTGCAACTAGGAGCATCTGTTTTTAATTTAGTGTTGTTTCCACAATCAGAATCCTTCCCTCTTCATCATTATATATTTGATTAGCCTGAATTGTTTCTTTAACACATAGCACTACTCCCCTCTTCTTTTGTTGTGATAATGACACAAATAGTTTTCCCAATTTAGGATGTTCCAGTAGTTGTTTGTGTTGTTCCTTTATATGAACTTCTTCTACCCTGTTTCCCTGAAAATAAGACCTCCCTGGATAACAAGCCTAGCATGCACTAAAATAAGCCCTCCCCCGAAAATAAGCCCTCCCCAAAAATACAGCAGCAGCCATGAGGTGACCATGCCCGCCGCCTCCTGCACCTCAAAAATAATGAGACCTCCCCGAAAATAAGGCCAAGTGCTTATTTCGGGGATCAAAAGAAAATAAGACCCTGTCTTATTTTTGTGGAAACACAGTAGTGATATTATGTCTAGATTCAATATTTGTAGTTTATTGAAGGTTTTCTTTTTCATGGGAGAGTTCAATCCATTAATTTTTAGTGATAGTATCTTAAGGTCTTCTTGCATTGTTCTATCTATATCTAGGTCTTATATTCCTTGTTGTTCTTATTTCTCTCGGTTCTTTGGGTCTTACCAAAGACTTAATCACCAAGACTCAATCACCAGGATAAAGACTCAGCAATGACAAGATCACTTCTCACAGGCCTGTATGGATGACCTCAAGAAAGTCCCAGCAGATACTATAACTCTGTTCATGATAGAGGGAGGAACTCTAAAACACAAGGGTAGAATAGTAGTACTTCCCATTGCAGGGAAGACGAATTTCAGCTTTGCCACAACAAACAGACCGCAGGGCATGGGTGTGTTTTCAAAACTCTGTGAGACTTTTGAAGGCCTAAGATAGCAATAGATTTCAAAGAATACATGTCCTCTTGCCACATATGCAGGAGGGCCAAATCCTTCCATCAGAAGCCGGCAGGGCTCTTTGCAGTGACTACCAACACCCCCCTTTCCATCTGTGGCATACAGTCTCTTTGGATTTCATCACCGGTTTACTCCCCTTCTAAGGCTTCACTACCATTTTGGTGGTGGGAGATCTTTTCACCAAGATGGCTCATTAAGGGATTACCCAACGCCAAAGCCCAACCTTTTCTAGACCACAACTTTCGCTACTATGGTATGGTCTCAGCACTGGTCTCAGATAGAGAAGTACATTTCCAATCAAGGTTTTGGAAAGCACTTTTCCAACTCCTTTTTTTAAAAATATATTT